AAGTCAGACATGCATGCAACTCTTGAGTATTGCTGCCACCTTCAGGAAGCATGATAAAAAAAAAAAGCTGGAAATATTAATTAGAAAAGAGATGGTAAATAAATCAGAGATTTAAGATGATGCCTGCTAATTATTTTGTACTTCTGTAACATTAATTTTCACAATGGTATATAATGCTCATTTTATTATTCTCAAATTCCAATGAAGTAAGTCCAGTGCTAAGAGATTTGCCCAAGGCCATTCAGAGTCAGTGACAAATACACCCTTAGCTTCTTGAAGTTTCACCATGAAAGATTTGTGGATCAGAAAATAATTTTATTGGCATTTGGATCTCAGTTTCAGTAGTTACTTTAACAACCACACACAGAGTATCTGTTGCAAACTGCTTCATAAAATCGGGATGGAAAAATCAGACTCTATGTATTCACTAAGTTAAATTTTTAATCAATAACATTCCTTGTTATTATTGGATAGGATGTTTCTCAGTTGTTGCTTTATAATGTTATGTGAGAGTAATATTGATTTTCTGCCAGTTTTCTACTTTTTCTCAGACAAAATAAATCAGGAATAGCAATGTAAGATCTTCAGTCTTCAGTCAGTATTAGAATTATTGAAGTGCAATTACTGAAAATAAGTAAATAAGTGTAAATAAGTAAACTGTAAACTGACACAATTTTATATTTGATTGTTGTAAGAACTTACATGTGGCTTATATTGACTTAGCTCTCACTAGGAAGATACAAACTCATCGGATGTAACTTTACACTAAAATCATGGTAAATTATTTATTTATTTGTAATTGAGCTGATGTAAATTCTGTATAGACATTTTAACAAAATTCTTCCAAGTTGAGTTGGAAATATTAAATGATCCAGCCTACTATAATCCTGCCCATTTACCCGCTGTTTCCTTATTGTTTGTTTTAGAAGGAAACATCTAGCAATGGGTTAGCATTTCCCCAGAGTGCGCAGGGAGGAAAGGACAGATGGTCTCTGAAATAGAAAATTTCCTTTGGAGATTATTTAAAAAGACTTTCCCATCAGCAGTAATATTTTAAGCCATTTCCTTTTTGATATTTATGATTAGATTGTGATCTAATGAATTCTTAAAACATGCTCATTGTTCCTCTAGATTTGGGAAACTTCCATGAATAGTGATGTGACAGTGCAACAAATGCTACATTGGTCATAAAAGGGTTGATGAAGTGTCATCGTTTTTGTGGGGCTTGAGAATTGCTTAAAGGATGTCAAAGTATTTAGAAAGGTGGGATAGGCTTCTTGTGTTATCTGCAGAGACAGATTTCACACTTACTTCTCCTTTCCTGACATCTATCTTAGTTCTAGTTTGCAAAACTCTAAAGTGGGGATATCCTGGCTCCACATGGTCTTGATTTAGCTCTGGAATGGAGTATAAAAAGTTGCTTTTTTATTTTTTATTTTTTTTCCCCTCAAGTGTTGTTTTCCCTCCCCTTTAGCTTTTCTTTGGTATATGCTCCTTTGAAAACCTTATCAGGCAAACAAAAGCATACAGTTGGATTTCAATACATATTGGTTATGATAAGTTATTCTACCAGATACTCAAAAAGCAATTCCTTTAGTTTTCTAAAGTGAAGCTCATTTTGTTGCTGAAATTCTTAATTAAACATTCTTGGAGATGCTAACGGCTGTGTATCACCTAACTACCTAAAACCTAAATCTCTACAGACCTTTGTGTGCTATCCACAAAAGAGTTGTCTTGTGGACAGTTACAGTGAAAGACAAGAGAAGAGAACAGGGCACAGCAGAGCAGAGCAGAAGGAGAGGAAAGAATATAACTGGTATAATGTCACTAGCACTAAGACCAGCTGTTTCTACCACTACCATTAGCTGTAAAGAAGATTGCTTTGTTGTCTGTGGTTTCTCCTCTCTGAACAGCTACACTGGAGACACTGCAGGAATATTTTATCCTTACAGAAATTTGGAATAAACTTGTTCTGAAAACAGTCATTCAAATTTTAAGGTATGAGGAGAGAATCTTATTAATTACCAGGTATAGGAACTAAACATATCTGTAGCACTTAAATGACTCATATCCCTGTAATATTTCACACTTTGAAACTTTGCTTACCTTATATGTCACATATTTGAAGAACTGGTTCATTTGTGTGTTCCTCTAAGTTCCTAGAATCATTGAAGTCAGCACTAAGAACCTGGAAATCCTAAGAAGACTTGTTTGTATTGCTTGTCTTCCTGAGCTAGGAGAGGTCTTCCTGTTTGTACTGCTGGGAGAGAAAATCTGGAGTATTTTTTGCCATTGAGAAGGATGCCTTGGCTATAAGAGACAGTGGAATTTCACCAGTGTGAAATCAGTGAAATCAATCAGCATGATCAATTTCAGTGACTGCAACCTCTCTCATGTGACTCATACCCATCCATGTAAACATAATGAACTTCAGAATAGAATGTAAACATAATAAACTTTTCTCAGCATGGAGTATCACCCTCAATAGGTATCTGCTTGGATGCACGCTAATGGTCATGCCAAACAGTACCTGAGATCTGCCAGCTCTGCTCAGGAAGACTCCAGGTTCCAGTAGCGGCTAACATGTAGCATAAGCAGCTGAATGAAACATAAAGTGGAAGAGAATAGAAAGGAATATAAAGGTTCCAGAAGCACGGCAGGTAGGATGACAACCTCCTATGAAGCTGCTATGGATGCAGTTTGTTAAGGTGTTCTATAAGATAGCAAAGGCATACTAAAATGAAGCGTCTTTCATTAAGGACTAGGAATCCTGAATATTAATTTTATTGTTCCTTTATTCCATACCAGCCAAGAAACTGAGATGCTGTTACTTAAATGAGCACTTGTAAAGCAACATGTACAATGGGAGAAATCAGAAGTGATGTACCACAATAAAGTAAGCCTCAGTTGTTATCTAGACAAAAAAAAAAAAAAAAAAAAAAAAAAAAAAGCCAAAACTCTTTTCCATGAAAGAGGAGTACAACATAGACCAAGAATAAGTTGCTGTTGATTGTAGCCAAAACACTGCATTAATGACATCTGGAGAGTGCATGGCTGAGCTAGCAAGACTGGTGCAAGATCCTTGCAGGCAGCAGTCAGTAGAGAATTATTCTGCTGTTTGTTTTGTGAATAGCACTGTCCACTGCTAACAGGTGAATAGACTCCATTGCAGCTGACCACAGCCTTGTTTCTGAGGAGCTAACAATACAGCAGGTGTATGTTTTAATTCCTGAACCATCACTCTTCAATAGAAATACTGCATTTTTCATGTTTGGACCCAATTTGGCGGTAGCTCTACTGTAAGACAGCAGACCCAACACTTCTCGGGAGGGACTACAGATGCCCTTACAGAAATATCTCACCATGGAAGATTAGAAACATTGACATGATCGAAATCATTAGCAAAGAGTAGAGGATAAAAATGCAGTGTGTCACTTTACGTGCAAGCGCTGTCAATCACGATTTACTATGAGTGCCCACTATAGCTCATTCTGGGCTTGTTATAGCTAAGCTAAGGGGAAATGATTTCAGGTCAAAATGATTTTGCTCTTTTTGGTTTTGCACTTATTCGCAGAAAAAAATAATAATATATTTTTGACGACTTTGTAGCATTCCCACCACTCCATGCTACCAGTTATAGGGCACCAGAAAATAGAAATGTCGGTGTAAATTGGGAGAACGTTAGCAAACGGGATTTCGACAGAAACCCTGCAGGGCACAAAAGGAGCAAAGCTGCCGGGGAAGGCTGGCGGCTGGGTCCGGCCCGGGGCCCACGGCCGCGGCTTCCCGGGGCGGGCAGGGAGGAGCCGGCCGCGGCCCGGCCCTCGTCGCCCCGGCGGCCTCTCGCGATGTCGCTGCGGGCCCAGCGAGAGCCGGCAGCGGGCGCCGCCGGTTGCTAAGGGCCGCCGCCGCCGCAAGGTGATCGATCCCCGGCGGGCCGGGGGCGCCGGGCGGGCCGGGGGGCGCGGGGCCCGGGCACGGCTCTTCCCCGTAGGGATGGCGGGTGAGGGAGGGCTCTCGGGCGGTGTGGTGAGCAATTCAGCTTGGTGCCGAAGGCTGCGAGCTGCTGGAATGACAGGCGGTGGGCACTGGGAGAGGTGGGAATGCCGGCCCGATTGCTGCTGTCTGGAATCGGTGTTTGGCTGCTAAAATGGTCGCGTCTGTGACCAGCACCTTGTCCCAGGCAAAGGCTGGTGTGAAATGCCTCCTGCGGTGGGTAGATAGGGCCGCTACAGGGCTCTTCTTCGGTCACCCTATGGGATTTTGGGGCAGGCTTTCAGCTGTGGGGCGATTGCACTGAAATGAACTTGGAGCTTGAAAAGGCTGCACAAGCCAGGCTTGGCATAAGGATTCCCAGAGAGAAAAAGATCGTTTAACAATTCCAGGGAAACTCAGTGAGTCACATGCCTGCTGAAATAAACCCAAACGCAAGCCATTACAAGTGAATTTTAAGATAAGCAAGCTAGTGATTAAGTCAAATGAGACTTTTCAGAGGGAGCTAGAGATGAAGCCGGTATCTCCATAATCTGTCTTTAAAAATGCCTTTTTTTTTTTTTTTTTTTAATGGGGGATGGTACAGGGACTGAAGGGGGCAGCCCTTGAGAACTGAGCTGGTAAGACACTGTCTTCTGTACTTGATAGATATTTCCAGTTTCTCACTGCTGCTGCTCCTAGTTTTTCCTAGTAGCTGTAGTGTTGAAATGGGAGGACTCTGTCAGGTCACTTTGCTGTTGATACTATAGGAAAAAAAAATAAAAATCTAACATTTCCACCTGGCCTGTGTTGCTTGCAAAAGCTGCCAACACCTTTCACCATGGGCACTGCAATAGCTCTGAATAGAGGGATCCAAAAAATCAGGACGGGGCACCGAAACTATCTGAGAAGAAGGTGCAAGACTCTTAGAGGTTTCTCATCAAGGTAGTTGTTACATCTCTGAAACTTTTTTTTTTTTTTTTTGGTAGTTATGCCATAGTTTTGTGCCTATTCGATGGACTGTTCTTCAAGCAACTGCACACAGAACTGTAGGATTTCTTAATACAGTATTCTCAGTAAGAATATTGCCCCAAGATGACAGGAGGTCCATTAAAACTGATTTAATTGTATCAATTCCAGTTTGTCTGAAATAGACCCTATCGTGATATTTCATATCACGTGTTTTGTTACCATGGTCATGTGTTTTGATACCATAATCTCATGCTGTGTGTAACAGGAAAAAGAGTGAGCATTTGAAGATTTCATGCTTTTGGACCTGTTAGAGTCAGTCCAGAGAAGGGCAACAAAGATGATCAGAGGACTGGAGCAACTCTTCTATGTAGAAAATCTGGGAGAGCTGGGGCTGTTCATCCTGGAGAAGAGAAGGATCCGGGGAGACCTCATCATGGGCTTTTAATACTTAAAGCGGTCTTACAAAAAGGTTGGAGAAGGACTTTTTACTTAGGTAAAAAGTGATAGGACAAGGGGGAATGGTCTTAAAAAGAGGATAGATATAGATTAGACATTAGGATGAAATTCTGCACTGTAAGCGTATCGGGGCAATGGCACAGGTTGCACAGAGAGGTTGTGGATGCTCAATCCCTGGTGGTGTGCAAGATGAGGTTAGATGAGGCCCTGAGCAACCTGATCTAGTGGGTGGCATCCCAGACTATGGCAGGAGGGTTATAACTAGATGATCTTTAAGGTCCCTTTCCAACACATGCTGTTCTATGATTCTATGATTTTCCTCATCTTAAGGTGAGGAAAGAAGAAAGAATCTGTGAAAGCATGTTATTTTTGTATTTGCTTCATACAGATGTCTCAATTTACAAGTGAAGATGAAGCTCTGTTGCAGTCTATGCTTCGACAGTTGCTGCAAAGTGTGAAGGAAAAAATCACTGGAGCCCCATCAGTGGAATGTGCAGAAGAGATTCTCTTGCATTTGGAGGAAACTGATGAAAACTTTCACAAGTAAAACTATTTTGCTATTTTTAATATTTTGAAGGAGATGAAATTTGATGAGCTATGTTATTCATCGGAAATGTTTGCAATTGGTATTGATGTGTGAGTGTGTATGTATTTTTTATATATGGATTCTTGACACTAATGAAATCGCAAAAGATTTCAAAAGAGAATACAATGAATTTTGCCTTTTTCCTGATTTTTTTTCCCCTACTCTTGGCAACACACTATTTTTACTGTAATTGTTTTGTAAGTTTCTCTCTTATAAGCAGCTCAACAATTCCTGCTAAACATTGTCAACAGTAATGCACATGCACATGTAATCAGATCTTCAAAAAACATGTAGATGTAAAACTTAGTGACATGGTTTAATGGTAGACTTGGCAGTGCTAGGTTAAAGGTTGGACAAGGTAATCTTAGAGGTCTTTTCCAACCTAAATGTTTCTATGATAACGTACTAAATGCAAACAGAATTTAGAAGAAATCCTGACTGAAGACTGTCAGGGAGTGTTTTTGACACCTGCAAGACAGTATAATTTTGTTTATCAGGTACCTTTTTAAAAATTTAAGTTATTCTGGCTTCCATTTTTGATTCTTCTGTCTAGCATATATTGCTGAACCCTTGTATATCTTATCAGTAAGTTGTTCTTTAATTTATGTTTTGAATAAAGCAGAAATGCATCACATTTTTTTATTAAATCAAATTTGACTGTGTGGCGTCTCTTACATGCTATGCTAGATTTCTGGAGCACATACTCCTCTTTTCCTTTCCATGGTACTCATACATGCTTGTTTTTTACTATATGGAGGATTTTCAGAATGCATCTGTGACAAGTCAAGAGAATACCAAGCTTAAATGACCTTGAAGACATTTTCATGATCAGAGGTCTGTGATTTGATTTCTCTTGAGAAAGCTGGTTACCTGCCAAGTTTTAAGACTTATCTACTCTATCTTTTGTTGCCACTGTGATGTAGAAAAGAGAGACACAGGGACCTCAGAAAGTAACAAAAAGAAAATTTGAATCTAATTTGAAATTTATATGCAGTAGTAAAACTCATATTTTTTTTTTTACACTATATAATTAGAACCTTTTTTTTTTTCTTTAATCTAAGCCTTAGACATTCTTGACACTCTTATTTTCCTGGAGCGTCTATTGTAAGCCTAAACAGTCTGATGTGCTTTTGCATGTTAAGAAGTAGTTTTGAAATGTCTGAAACGCTCACAATGTATTTTTAAACTGGAAGAAAGATGCAGAAGATAGCTGTAGGACATCAAGCAGACATAGACTTTGTGGCATGAATAATGATGTAATTGTTGTGTATTTCAGAGTGAAGCAGTCACTGCAAAGATGTATACCACGGAAATGATGGAAATGTTACAGTCATTAAAATAAAAAAGGAAGAAAGTTTTATGAAATCTTTCATTCGGTGGAGATTCATGCAATTTCATTATTACAGGAGTAAAAAGCTAGCCTTGAAGCTAGCCTTGACAAATGAAAATGCAAATAAATATGTTTGTATCTTTCTTGAAATGCATTTCCATTACTTTCATTGAGAACAAAAGTGATTTGGGAAAGGAAATAATCAGGGGAAAAATACAGGGCTGTTACACCTGATGGAACTTGAGGTAGACAACTCAGTGAGAAAGTACATATCATGATAGCACAATAGAAGACAAGATTTCCTGTGGTTTTATTTTTTCTGTATCTTGAGTATAAATTTTTGTTTTAATACCGAAAAGCAAAAGCTGATAATTTATAGCAGTAGCTTTTGTTTACTTCTACATTTTATAGCTTTAGACTCTATATTTTCATGGTCAACTGACTTTAAAAAAAATTTTCTTACTATTAATTTATTGTAATTAATGAAAGTAGTTGCAGATCTGCATTTGATAAAATGAAATTACAATGAGGCACCTAGTGGTGAATATAGTTATTTTCTTCATGTGATTCTGTTTGCCTTGTCTTTTATGCAAATCAGAAGGTTAACAAAAAAACCCACAAAACTTCATATATTCTGAAAATGATTTTTTATCAATTTCTTTAGTGAAGATGTGTTCTGAGGAGTATGTCCAGTGAGTTTTTTTTTAATTTATTATTTAATGTTATGTTTGTGTAAGTATCTAATAATAAGAATGTGAAGTGCCAGTTTCTTTCCATTTTACACGTCCATATCATTGACAGGTAGTCTATGAATTTGGGTGAGACTTTCGGCATTATCATCATGAGACAGTTTTAAAGTCTTATACATGCCTTTATGTTGGATGAATTTATAAGCTGAGTTTTCTGTGTTTCTTTTCCTTTTGTATGCTCACTTTAAAATGAATAATACCAGATGAAAATAACATAAGACAGCATTATATTCAGGATGCTGAAAGTAATGTTTCTTTTAGAATTTTAAATTTGAGATTTCTTGTTATTTTGTTTTTGTCTGTAAAACATTAATCTGTCCGAGTAAACTTTTACATTAGTCTTAGAAGAAGCACAACGGGAAATTAGAAACTATTTGATATTGTTCCTTCCTAGAACATGCTGAGAAGGACTGTATTGAAGAAAATCAAACTTTATTGTGTGTTTTCACAGCTGAATTTATTTTTCTGAAAGTCATACATAAACCCTTACTTTAAAGTCAGGAAAGGAGATGGCTAATATTAATGCAACATTGAAAATGTGAGATGGTGAGCTCAAAGTAATTACATTTTAATTTTACACATTTGTTTCAGCTATGAATTTGTGAAATACCTTAGACAATATATAAACGATACTCTGGGCTCTGTGATTGAAGAAGAAACAGAAAAATGTACTGCTGCTCAAAATCAGGGTGAAGTATCTGGCTATGACACTTTCGTTCAACACGTTACAAAGAAGACTCGTGAATCCAAAGAGTAAGTACATGCATGTAATTCACATTTTTGTTACTTCTTGGACTTTGTCTTACTTTTTTGTTTCCAGAATGTGTTTTGAAAAACATAACTTCTGAAACATAATGGTAACAAATGTGATTCTTTGCATTCAAAAATCAGTGCTAAACAATTCAGATATTCCCACTCTTTACATTTCAGTTTGTCATGTTTCAGCTCACTCTGGAATGAAGAGTGTGAACCATTGCATAAAATGATAAGCATCAAATCTGTGAAGCTTCTGAGATATCTGAGATTAGAGTTAGGTAGGAATAAGGTTTGAAAGATGAGAGTCACTACTTCATGTTTGTTCGTTATTTGCATACGAAATTCAGTTCTGACATGGAAGGTGGCCTAAGTGAAATATTGTATTCTTATCAAGTATTACAGTATGGTAATTTCCTTAGATATAAACGGAGATTCTGCATGGCAAGCATTAGAATACAGGTGTGTTTTGAAGATTGCTTCATTGAGATCTAGCAAGGTGTCTTTTGAGAGTAGTATGTTTAGATCACTGGCAAGTTTAGAAATTGATGTTTGAGCTTTCTTCCTTGGATTCAAAGATACCTCTGCAATGCTGTCTGTCTGTGGTACAATTGTTACATATATCAACTGTGTAGAATTATCTAAGATTTTCTGTATGTTTGACTCAGAATGTCATCCTGAGTCAGAAGTCAGCCAGGCAGAGATTAGTAGGTTAGTGTGGAAAACTACCTCAGCATATTACATAGCATATTACATGGCATAGTACAGCATATTACAGATTCATTGGTTTTGAACACCATATTTAGTAAAGAAACCTTAAATAGACAAACCTCTGCGAGCACCAGTTATTTTCTTGTTCATTTCTTCCCTACAAACTTTCTTCCCTTCTTGTGGGCATTGGGAAGGGAACTTCCCTTTGGAATACAAGGGCTTGTAGCTCCTTTACTGAATTTTCAGATACTGAATTTGCACAGGGAGGTAGTTTCTGTGGTTCTTTAAAGCATTAGTGAGTAGTACTTATAAAACGGATTTTAGTATATACAGCTGTTTGTGCCAGAAAGAATGTGAAATTTCAAAAGTTTAATCTATGTACCACATTATTTTTGGAATTCCTATACAAAATCTGTCTACATAATACTGCTGAAAGCAGTTCTAAAAGTATGGTTTTCTTAATGAAAAGCAAACAGTATACTTTTGTCATAGTGAATCAGATCTGTGCCTTTTTGTATATTAGCTGTCATTGAGAAACATGATAAGGACTTCACTGAAGTTAAACTTGTACAATGTGAAAACAGTGAAATTAAAAGCAGAGAGAAAAACCAATAATTTTTGGCTTTGTATGTTTTAACCACTAAAATGATTTTATGCAGTACTTCAGTTCTACTTTATGATGTCCTTGGTGACCTTAAAATTAGTACTAATAGCCTTAAAGTAAGAAGTAACTTGAAATAAAATACCAGTTTTAAAATAGGATGTTTTTCTAAAGCACCAAAGGTTTTTATTTTGAATTGCTTCTGCATGGATGTTATTATTCTTTTGTTTTGTAATTTGGAAAAATCATGGTTTTGTTGTTTCTAAACAGTTCTGTGTGCATGGCCTGTACTCAAGAGTCAGGATTGACGTGTTCTCTTCTGTTGGGTTCTGTTCAAGGCTTATAGCAAAAGAAAAAATGGGAAAACACAAACAGTAACAATGAACTGATCTGTCCGGTCAGGGACACATTCTCCCTTTGGGTTCACATCGTTCCTTCTTAAAAAACTCTCAGTACAGGGTTACCATGTGATGATTTCATTGAATGGCTTTAGAAGGGCAAAAGAGAGTTTTATTACAATTTTAAAATTTAGTTTCCTGAAAGATCTAGATACCTGCATGTTTTATTGCTTGTTTTGAATTTGCATTTGTTTTTTGTTCATTTCTGTTCCTTCAATGAGTTTGGGTCTAAGTAGCGTTATGCCATATTCAGTTATTCATGACTTAATTAGTGATTTTTTTTTTAAATGTGATTTTTATGCCCTTTAATATTAAAATCCTCTTTACTTTGAAGATACAGAGAAATGATGCATGCCTTGAAGAACATCATGATGATTGTGGTAGAGTCTTTAATTAATAAGTTTGAAGAAGATCAAATGCGTAATAAGGAGATGGATAGTAAAACAAAGAAAGAATGTCAGAGCGGCTATTATACAGACAACTGTTCTGACAGTGACTCTTCGTTCAACCAAGTAAATGTATTTTCTTTCTACATTATAAAATAAGCATGATGCTGCACAACTGTTAAGTTTCTGCTAGTGGAAATTGAGAAGCAGCCCTAGAAAATGATTCATCCTTCCTATCTTTGATAAATGAATGAATTGCCTTTCTTGCAAATTGAACTACTGAGTTTATACTAGCTGTCTAACCTTTAGACAGCATATACTAGATGAGGTGAATCCTTTGCATATACTCTAAAGTGCCTATACAAGTACTGAAAATAATGGAAAGTAAACAAGAGAATATAATGGTAAAAGCTATGTCTCATCCAACTTTTTGTGATTTTTAGGAGCCAAATACGGTGTAGTTTTTCCAGAGTACTGCACTGTACTGTATTACTTAATGAGTTATTATAAGGCATTTTCTGAAGATAAAGGAAACTTCTAAGTAAAACAAAGAAAAATGCGTAAGGAATAATTTTGTTGCTGAAAATTTAACTTTGGCCAAACCTCAGACAACATTCAGAATGTTTACTTTAATTTAAATTAGTATAAATGATGAAGTCCAAATTATTAAAAGTAAATTAGGTATCAAAAAGACTGATGATTTTAATCTTCTGCTGTTCAGTTTAATAAAATACACTAATGATCATTTTATAATGTGTATTACAGAGTTATACATTCATGAGTCAAGAACAATTGCAACTGCTTGTAGAAAGACTTGACCCTATTCAGCCTAAGGAAGTAAGTTTAAAAGAAGAAATTTGAATACAAATGAATGTTTATGGCATATTGGAGAACAGACTATATGCATGTAATTGTTCTTACATATGTAAGTAGAATCTTGTGTCAGTTCATATATTGGCTTCAGCGTGGTAAGTGCACTGCAGTGCAATATTTCATTCTTTATAACCATTTGGCTCAAAAACTAGTTGCAGCAAGTATCTTATTTTTTTGGTTGGGAGTTTGTGTTATAGATGGGAATTTTAATTATGTGAGAAGTAAAATTATTCAACCTTGGTTTCCTGCACATGTATCCTCTGCCCTTCTTGATACCTTCCCCGTTGTCCTTTGAGTGTCCTTTTGAGTCCTCAGAAGAGAGGGGTGCCTGCTGTTTCATCAACAAGCTGCTGCCAGGTAGAATATATAATGTCCAAGTTAGGTTTGCCTTTCTGTCAGTGTCAGTACTAATTTGGGTCTCTGACCACCAGTAAGCTTTTAATATTTTTGAAGCTTGGAAAATCATTATTGTTTTGATCAATCTGTCTCGCTCTCTCTCATTAAATTTTGCTCGTGATTGTCTAGCAATTGAAATGGTCATGGTAGATGGGAACTGGTATAAATGTGATCATATAGGCCACATTTTCTTAGAAAACTAGGTAAAAAGTCTGATGCTATTAAATATGCTTAAATTTCCTACAGTTGGTTTCAGCAATATGAAATAAAGGGCTAGCGATTAGTTGTCTACAAATAGAAAAACAAAGAAAAAGTTATTTTAAATTACTTAATTATGAACGTGATGAAAGTTCTGCAGTAAAATAGTGTTTTATTTCCAGTTTTCCTTATAGACTTTTTAATGAACTGCTAGGTGCAATTGTAGCATTCAGAGATAAAGTAATTTTTCTATAATTCTTGATAACAAAATCATTCATTAAAAGCAGAAAGTAAACCAGAAATTAATATAATACCTGCAATATTAAAACCTAATATTTTAAAATGGTTTTGTTGCTTCTTAAAACGTATTTTTTTTCCTCTTCTCACTGATGTATTGTTTTGTCGAAATCACCATGATAACGTAGCAAAAGGTAAGTATTTTGGGACTCCTTATCTGATGTACAACCAAGTCATATTTCTTCCTTCCTACAACTTATATTGTAAATTACTTATCTGAGAGGTTGCTCTGAACAGATTTGTATTGTTTGTCTTTTTGACCACTTCAGGTTCGCCAAGAAGCATTGCAGACACTGTGCTTTGCCCCTCCTTCGAATGTACTCAACTCTGCGGGTTGGCCAAATCTGCGTAAGCATCTAACGATGTCTCTGTCAGATCCTGATGCAACATTCAGTGTAAGCTGATGTTCTTCTATGTTTAGTTATCAGTTGTCTAGCTGTAGTAAACAGTACTCAAGAGGAGCAAGAAGTTGCATATGTGTTATGATTATTTTAGCAGGATCCAAAGACACTTACTATGTGCATCAGATAGTGTTGTTTTTTTTTTCTTTTAAAAAACTTTGTTTGATTCCAGGAGGTCTTGATTTAAAAGATTACAGCAGCGCTTTGATAGAATTTTAGAGACTGCTGTACACCATTATATATTTTTAATGGGGAGTGAAGAGGTTTGAATGGTTTAAAAAAAACAACAAAACACATGTTGCCAAAACTCATGTAAAACATATTATGTAAATGTTTCCTATTTAAGTTAGGTGTATACTCCATGATGATAAGAAAATGATACATATTAATATTACACAGGCACTGATGAAGACAAAATGTGGTAGCTTCTTAAACTACTTTCAGATTATTTATTATGTCAATCAAGCCTTTTTTCTTTTTTTTTTCCCTCCCAATTTTAAAGTGATTTTCAGAGAAATGAATGTTGTCTCAGCTGCTGCCATGTATTATTCTTTCAGTTTAGGTCTACAGTTGTTTTTAAAATAATGCTAGTTACAAGTCATTGGCATGTTAATGACATAAAAACATTAATGTTAATGGAAAAATATAGCAATATTACCTGATCTGCCTCTTTGTATCTCAGTGAGGCTGGTGCTGTCACTGGTGCTGTCAGTAGAAGTATTCAAGAAAAACGTCTTCCATACTGTATGCTCCTGTGGTCCCAAACTATATATTTATAAAATGTGCTTCACATCTATATAGATAACTGAGCAATATATTAAGAATAATGTCATTACATATTTGTTATTGTGCAGTACTAATATACAGTTTCATGGTTATATAATATATTTAATACATTGCTTTTTTTTTTTTTTTTTCTCCTTAGGAGAAAATTCTTAGGTTTTATGCAAGAACATTTTCTTCATCCCCATTTAATATGACACGAGAAGTCTATACAAGTTTAGGTATGTGCATTAAATTATATTTAAGACTCCAAGAGTCATGTACTTCCTGAAAATCGATTACCTTTTACTGTGAGACTATTATATGGTCTATTTTGCCACTCTTGTCATTGAGATGGGTTTTATTTCTTCTGTTTTAGCACAACACTTGGAATTTTACTTTCTTTCTGAAGAATATTCACTTCGTATTTCAGCAGGTCTGGATGTATCTAATGCAAACATAAATCATTTACTTAAAAAGGTATAAATGAACTTTCCATACCTCTTAAAATTTTTGTCGTTACTGAAACATCATGTAATCTTTTTTAATTATACTAATATTAACAGGTCCGTCTTTTAAATGAGTACCAAAAGGAAGCTCCTTCTTCCTGGATTCGTTATGCTGAAAAGTATGTCACCTTCACTGTCTCTTAGTTTAATGCTTTTTTTTATGTATTTTGCTAAAATTACATGACTATATTTTCACAGGGTCCACACATCACTGGTCAGTGCTAAGGAAAAGTGGAATAGGCAAGTTATATAGGAGTTATATAGGAGTGGTCATGGTATATAGGAGTGGTATTAGGCTGCGTATTTAGCTTTCAAAGCATTTTACAATGTCATAAGTGTAACATTTAGTGCTTATGAAATATGTAATCATATAAGAGAATATACATGTATGTTGCTGTTCATTTTATTTATGGTAGCACAAATAATTAATATCCTTACAAGACCAAATTAAAGATAACGTGGTTAGTATTTAAGATATGCATGAACAACAAGGATTTACAATAAATTTTGGGTGTGAATATTACTGATGAAAGTGATTTTTGTTTTATTTTTTTCTTATTTGTGTCATAAGGTATATGGAAGAAATAGTGGAGAGTACCTTGTCATTGTTGTCAGTAAAACACGATCCTAATCATCCTGACTCTCAAGACTTTTTGAGTCCAGTCTACTTTTTGGCTCTGCTAGATATCAAAGCTGTGTGGTTTAAAAAGTGGACGGTAAGCAAAAAGAAAGCAAAGGGGAAAAAAAGCAAACAAACTTGTTGATGTCAGATGTATTTTGAAAAGCTTGATTTATAACTACTGTTATCAGAGACCTATTGTGACCTTGATAACAACCTATAATAAGAACTATAATAAAGGAAGTGTATTGTTTGTTTTAGGCATTTAAGTCCTTTGCCCATTAACACTGCTCTGTCCCTTTCTGTTTGGTTACTAATCTACATAAATCTTTGGGGAACTTGCTGCTTTTCAGGCCATTTTTTCTGTCCATTTGCTGTAATTGATTGATATCTGCCAAAAGACTCCAATTTTTATTTGGAAGACGTGCTGAGCATGAGAGTACAGTTATGTTATCTTACACGAATTGTCTCCTGTAGTGGATGCTAGAGGTTTTTGCAGACTATCATGTATAAATTTATAACTTAAAATTTACATGACAATTTTAATGTAAATTGTCATGTCAATGTAAATGCTAGACGTAATCTAGCATTTCAACACTATTACTGATTTTTCTGTTTTACTGTATGTTCTGCACATTTCAGAATTTTTCTAATGACCTTTTTTTAAAATCTTAATCTATTACAAAAAAAAAGGCCCAGTTGGGTATAGTACTGGTTTACATGAGCTGGAGTTTAATGTGTTGAATATGTACTGTGCACAGGATTCCTAATGGAACAAAATTGGAGATAATTTTGACTTTTTGATTCAAAAGTAAAATTTATATTTTTGGAGTTGACTCTAGTTTTTCTTTGTGATTTTAGCATGCGTATTACAGCAGAACAGTGGTACTTAGGCTATTGGAAAAGAAATATAAATCTTTGGTAAGTATTTCCCGAGGAAATTTTACCTGGAACTTGTTTTTGCTTTGTCCTTTTTGTCAGAGCTGTTCCATGTTCTTTATCTAGATTAGATTAGCCTTTTTTTTTTTCTTTCCTAATTTTATCTCTGATTAAATTATGAAGAAGGGTATGTGTTCTGTTTTGGGTAAGTAGAAATTTTATTGTTTTATGGCAAGTATTTAATTAGGATTATTTTCTGTTAATTTCTTATGTTGCATCCACATTTAGAATTATTTCTGTCAGTGTATAAAAATAGAAGATGAAAAAATGCAAAAACTCAATGCTGAATTTGGATTTTTGATGAAAAGAAACTCAGAAAAACATTGTTTTCTTTAAGTTCTGTTATGAAACATGGGTTCAAAGTGTCAGCAAAGTAAAACGAAACTCCATGGAACAAAAAGTTTATGATAGGAAGTTCATTAGCAGAGTAGTCTAATATAATGAGTAAGCATGGAGTAAAAGTGTGGTTTTTTTTAGCACATCTGTATGCTTTACCTTTTCAGTATGTAAAAAAATTAGCAGCTCCAAAATGAAAAAAGACGTAAGTTTAAATTTATTGCATATGCTGTATTGTGATTTGTTTCTAAATACATTCTCCTGGAAAAGAGTCTAGCGGGGGACCACAAAGATGATACGGGGCCTGGAGCATCTTCCCTATGAAGAAAGGCTGAGAGACCTGGGTCTGTGCAGCCTGGAGAAAAGAAGACTGAGAGGGGATCTCATCAATGTGTATAAATACCTGAGCTGTGGGAGACAGAGGGGTTTGGCCAACCTCTTTACAGTGGCTTGTGGGGACAGGACAAGGGGTAATGGCCACAAGATAGAGCACAGGAAGTTCCGCACCAACATGCGAAAGAACTTCTTCATGGTGAGGGTGATGGAGCACTGGAGCAGGCTGCCCAGGGAGGTTGTGGAGTCTCCTTATCTAGAGATTTTCAAGGCCAGTCTGGACGCCTACCTGGGCAGCCTACTCTAAGGAACCTGCTTTGGCAGGAGGGTTGGACCTGATGATCTTCTGAGGTCCTTTCCAACCCCTATAATTCTGTGATTCTGTGATGCACAATGATACAATTTCAACTTGTATATACAGTTATATACTTGTATATACTGACCTTTGCAAAGGTCAGTAATAGCACTGGCAGCACCCAGTAACCAAACTTACAATTTAGTACTTGTAGTGTAAACAGAGGTTTTTTCCATGTGAATAATGAAAATCTTCTGTATTAACCATATAGTAATCACAGATTGTTATTAACTTCTCAGAATACTTGCATGTTCTCTGTACTCTTTTTTTGTAGATTGATTGTCCTAATGCTTATATAGCTGAAGTTTGTGTTAATGTGTTTTAGTAGCCGTGTAAAATTTTGTGTCCCCTTTGATGGTTACCCCAACCAAGGCGCTGAAACATGAGGTAGTTGCAGTGATGTGAGAGTTTACATTCTTGTGTACTAGAATGTGATATTAGAATACAAAAGTAAACACATTTCTTGTAAAATGCCAGACATTTTATTATTATTGTTATTATTTTTTCCACAGATTAACGCAGCTGTCCAGCAATGTCTTGATTATTTTGAATTTTGCAAGGCAGCAGTTAATACAACTTCTAGAGTCAATGACTTTTCCCAGCAGTATTCTAGTGAGTATCTTTGCATGTATCGCGTTGTTTGCACATGTATTCACATTCTCTATGTCTTTAAGCACGATGCCTCAAGATAAAGACATCCTATATGATTTTCTTCTGTCAAAAGTATTTTGTCTGTCTTTTGAGAGTACTAATAACAGCGGTTAACTACTTATGGTCTCTGCTTTTATATACAAAATGACTCATATATGTTACAGGTAGTAGCCAACTACTGGCAAGTAAATTAATAAAGACAAGTTCTAATTTTTTGGTTTTATTGTTGTAGGTGATAAGCAGAAATTCTCTTACACTGGACCAGAATTACAGTATGTCTACTTTGTTCATTCGCTGTGCCTTTTAGGCAGATTGTTGATCTATAAGCAAGGCCGAAGTCTCTTTCCAGTACAGCTGAAAAGTAAAAAAGGTAAGAGGGAGGGGTGAGGAAAATGGAACCTGTTGAGCAACAGTATGCCTGTACCTGATGTTTCCACTGCAATGTTGTGAACATTGTAGGATGATGTTCTGTTTTAGTGATTCTGTGCCTGTAAAACTTTGTTAAAAGATGGCATGGAGAATTTTGAGCATCATCACATTTTTTTTTAAATCTTTAATGGGTATGGTTGAATAGACACTTTTTTCTTTATGTCTAATATACTAATTTCATGTTGAAGGGGATGTGGCTCAGAATGTAAGTGCTTCAGTCTTTTTAGGTACGAGTAATATATTTTGTCAAGGCAGTTGATATAATTGGTTGGAAAAGAGCCATGTTCAGGCACCCAGACAGTTTTTCAGATGTGAAACAAAATCAGTACTTCAAGCTAAATGTAAATTGAAAGCAATTGCACTGAGTTTGACTTATTAACATAATTAAGATAAAAAAGTGTAGAATAAACTCAGTACCTGTGGAACAGAGGTGTCAATAAGGGCAAGGGAGCTGAGATGTAAAAGCCCTTGCAAGTCCAGAGAAATCTACATGTAGTGATACATTGTGTGGTGACAATTGTAGCTTTGCATTCTATTAATATCTCTATTAATCCAATACAGAATTAATAATGTTTCTGGATAGCAATTCTTTTGTCTTTTGAAGGTAATTTGTACCTCTGGCTTGAGGATCATAACTTTACACCCTGTATAGAACAGTGGTGAGGAAGAAACATCCACTAATCAAGTCCTTTTGTCATTTATGGATTATCTGTATAACTCCATTTAATCAGTGATCCATTGATGATGCTTACTTTTTTCTCTCCCCCATAAAAGTAATGATCTTATCATCTGTCTTCTCTGCTACTTCTCTGCTCCATGGATACCAATCCTTTCCTCACAAATTGTCAGATTTATTAATATAATTGCATTAAACTTGGAGCAATACTTCCCAGCATGCATTTGGCTAATCATTGTTTTTTGTTTGAGACCCGAGGAAGGGTTGTATCTGACAGCTTGTCCCTTTTCCATCTGTATCACTTAATGTAGTGGCAAGGTCATGCATTTTCCAACAGCCATGTACATTCAGTTTTTTCAAACTCTGGCTTCCACCTGCTTCAATGAAAGACATGGTGAAAATGTAATTGGCTAAACTAGGAGCAAGATTAAGCCTTAAAAGTTGATCATGAATTAACCCAGTAGATTTCCTGGGAAGTGCATGCCCTTTGATGTATCAGTTGTACATTTACCTGTTATTTACTATGAAGGCATAGTTAGTTGCTTGGAGAAGTTTGTAGATGCCCCATCCCTGAAAGTGTTCAAGGTCAGGTTGGATGAGGCTTTGGGCAACCTGATCAAGTGGTAGATGTTGCTGCCCACATGGCAGGGGTTTGGAATTAAATGATCTTTAAGGTCTCTTCCAACCCACACCATTCTGATTCTATGCATGATGTTGATTTTTCTCAGCAAAACAAACTGTTTCTTACATATTTACATAATTCATTTTATTTATAAAATTAAAGTCACACTTTAATTTCAAGAGTGCTTTCTTTTGATTTTTTTTTAATAGATTGTGTTACCCTAACCGATCTCTTGGTGTTATTTACTCAGCTTATTTATTGCTCTCCAAGTTATTCAAAGACAACTTTGGCAGTGCATACAGGTAAATGTTTGTTTTTAATATATGCTACTATGTATAATAGTAATGAGGCCTTTGGTAACTCTCTTTTTCAATTTTTAATTTCGGGTCTGTTACTTGTGAAGATTTTTATCTTTTCTTCCTCTCCTACCTTTTCTTCATTTCTCTGTTAAATCAGTTCTTAATGAAATTATGATTCAAAAGCATTTGCATATGCTATATAGGTATGTTTGTGTAAGTTGAAATATAAATTAATACTTCTTGTATTTGACAGACAATTATTCTCCAGCAAGTCTTGTTATGGAGATCCTGCAAGTTTTTTGTGATCAAGCGGGTTGTGCTGCTGAATGTTTATATACAGATGCAGTGATAAATGCCCTACTTCATCCTGTTCAAAGTTTACTGAGTGGTACAGAGGTTTGTAGTAGTCTTCAAAATAATTTTTAAATTTGTAGAATTTTTGTAGATGTAATTAAAATGTAGATGTAATTAAAATGTAGAATCATTTTAATATATTTTCTACATTGAAGATTTATGTAATCATGTGGTAACTTCCGTAGTGTTTTCTACATTAGTTATTACAGTGTTCCTTAAGTTGTGCATGCTGTCATTATGAGTTGTCTGACAAAAGTGTTTTTTCAAATCTTCTGAATAGTAGCAAAAATTGAATTGTAGTGAGACTATTCCCTTTGGAAGCTTACTTGATTTTTTTCCTATGTTCACATGTGTATTTTGTATATTATCTTTCTTATCAGCTCTGTCTGCTATTTAAAAGGAGACTTCTATTAATTTTTAAATTTGGCTGGCAACTTGAAATAAAATTGTTTCAGTAATTATTATGGGTAAAAGTATGTAATTCCTTATAGAAAACTGTAGTTTTCTGAAATGTTAGAGGAAAGAGCTTTTATTCTTTTCATTTTTTTTTCTTTTATTTTAGGTATCTCTATTAGAATTGGAAATATTTTGTGTAATGTTACCTACCTTTAAGTACTTAAAAGCCTAGTTGCACTTGCCTGCAAAGCAGTTTAAGTTTCAGCCCATCCTATTGTTTTTGTTTTGATGGAGATGATTACATCCATCTAGGTGACTGTTAGTCTCAAGACAAAGAATTTGAGGGCCTGAACTGCAGATGGCATGCGCTAGCTGCCTGAGCTGTCTTATTTTGAGAGAAGTTAATAACTGAGAATTTTTTAATTTCCTGAGATGAAAGCTTGTAAAGACAGTTTAGGTTCCTAACTTAAATACTTCATCCAGATTCTTAAAGTTAAATTTTTTCAACATTCTCCTGATTATTTTTTCAGTGCAGTTTGTTTATTTTTCAGGAAAGGTTCTTCATATTAATGCCTGTAAATATTTTAATCTATCAAAATATGCCAGTGCTTTTTGAAAAAGTGTAAATAATATTTCCAAATAAATATTTTAAAGTATATATTTCTTTAACGTTTAAAACCATAGTCTTAGAAAAGCTTGATCATGTCAATACTTCTTTACTTCTTTGCTGTGTGGGGAACAGAGCACTGGAACAGGTTGCCCAGAGAGGCTGTGGAGTCTCCTTCTGTGGAGGTATTCAAACCCTGCCTAGATGCCATTCTGCAGTATGTGCTCTAGGTGATCCTGCTCAGCAGGGGGGTTGGACTAGATGACTTTCAGAGGTCCCTTCCAACCTTGGCCATTCTGTGATACTCCTTTGCAAGTATCTGTACTGAGTTTACTAGCATTGCTTAAGCATTTTATTTAAGGCTATATATGAATGCTTTGCAGGGTTAGCACGTTAAGTTGTCTTGATCTTATTGTAGGCTGCAGAAATGTAGCACAGATTTTTTTAAAAGATAAGAAGTCACTGAGCCTGCATATAGCTTGGACACTGGTAATCTTTGGGGATCTTATCAATGTTTATAAATACCTGAAGTGTGGGAGACAGAGGGGTTTGGCCAACCTCTTTTCAGTGGCTTGTGGGGACAGGACAAGGGGTGATGGCCATAAGATAGAGCACAGGAAGTTCCGCACCATCATGTGAAAGAACTTCTTCATGGTAAGGGTGACAGAGCACTGGAGCAGGCTGCCCAGGGAGGTTGTGGAGTCTCCTCTGGAGATATTCAAGGCCCGTCTGGACCTTTTCTTTCTTTAAAAGAAAAGAAAACAAAACAAAACAGGTCATATTCAGGGATATTAATTGCACAGTGGCTATAGTAGGCTGTATATGTGTCGTAAATCTGGAACGTGTCATATTTGTTCCAATGAAGGTACAAATTGTTTTATATCAGTTCTGTCAAACCAATAGCTGGAAAAGGTAGGAAAAGTCAGGGTATCCCTGTTCCTCTTTTACAAAAAGGGGGATTGGTTTTGTTTCCCAGCCAAACCACTGGTACTTCTTAGACACGTAAGAATCACACATCCCTATGAAGGATCTATTGTCTGTCTCTCCAGTGCTGGATTGTGGGTATACGGCTCCTCAGTTGCAGAATAGGCCTGATGAAAAAGTTATGCTGTTGTTTTTTTTTGCCTGTTTGTTTTGTTTTGTTTGTTTGTTTTTGTTTTTTTTAAGCAGAGTAGTCTTCCATATATGCAGTAGAGAGGGAAGAAGAAACTTGGTGGCTATGAGCAGGAGTAGTCAGAAGGATTGGTTTGTAGGTAGTAGTGTTGACTTTGGGAGCTCTGTGGTCTTTTAAGTTGCTGCTGAAACATAGCTGGTACAGATCATAGTATTCACATTGTAAATAAACAAAGTACTATACTATGTGTGTTTTTGTCTTGCACAGGGAAAACAAAATAATAACAATACTCTTTTGAAGAGACAATGACAGCACAGTATGTTCCTTTCTTAAAATTCTGAACAATTATACCATGTACTCTAAAAATAAATGGTCAGAGAGAGATTTTAACCCTCTATATAACATGAAAATTTAACCAAAAAAAAACCAAAAAACAAACAGAAACAAAACCTGACTAAGAAAACAATAAATTCTAAAGAGAAAAGAAGGAACTTACTCTATGCTTTTCTCCACTCTTGCTTCATGACCTTTTTCACAAGAAGAATCAGGAAATTAAATGATTCCCCGTTTACCTAATAATACAGTATCTATATGTACTCCTGCAACAAGGTCAAGTTTTGAAATAAATTTATATTTTTCTCTGATTACCTTGAGCACTGGCAATAATAGTAAATTACTTAAATTGTAAAGTAAATACCATTTATTTTTCCTTGGTGCAGTGTATAAAATATACAGCTACCTGTGAGGGAAGAAGCAGGAGCTGGATTGCATAACACTGTAAAAATCTCTGCTCCCAGGAGTCCAGCTTTCCTTGATGAATAACAGAAGAGTGGAGAGGATTTAAGCAGTGGACTTCAGCTTCAGGATAGTGGTGCCTTATTCCCTGCTCTGATGTATAAAGTATTTAACAAGCATTACTGGGAACAGTAATCTTCCTTAGTTCATCTTTGCCTAAAATTCATCTCACTGTTGACTCCATGCTGTTTTCCTGGGTGTGTATAGGGGGAAATTACCAAACGGTATTTTTTTCTTGCTTTGAAAACTATTATTCTTTTTTGTAAGTACATCTGTTCATGAATTCTGGTAATTTGGAGTGTTTCTCGGTTTCTGGGTGAAAACAGCTCCAGTTATTTCATGACTGTGTGTTCATTCTGTATATTCACAGAATCACAGAATGGCTGAGGTTAGAAGGGACCTCTGGAGGTCATCTGGTCCATGCTCTCCCACTCAAGCCACTTGCACAGGGCCATGTCCAGACAACTTCTGAATATTTCCAAGGAGGGAGACTGCAAGCTTTCTGGGCAATCTATGCCAGTGCTCAGTCACCCTCATAACAATAATAATAAATAAAATGTTTCCTCATGTTTAGATTGAGGCATACGGACAGGAACAGGGTTTTTGTGACCTCCTGTAGGACCCTGGAATAAGTTCTGCAGAATTGTAGCTGCTGTGTACTGGCAGGCCCTGGACACATCTCCTCCCTAATTATCCCATCCCTGGGCTTATTTGCTTGGGCTCAGGGCCAACCTAGGTAGCGGTGCGGATGTCAAACCTTGAAGACAGCTGTTTGATAAAGCTCTGTGAAGAAGCCTCATTGGAGATCCCCCACAGAAATGTCTCTTGTAATGTCTCAGCGTGGACTCACTCCATCTCAGGAGTGGGTTTTAAGTTGAGGTTCTCCCCCTCATTTCCTGCCTGTACTATGTTGTAGCAGCATTGAAGCCAGGCATCCCGTTTATCTGAACCCCATCCCACAGACAAGACTTGTTGGCTTGTTTTACCTCAGCCTTGTTACTGTAGAGTTGCCTAGTGATCACTGGTCTGTCTGACCCTGATCGCTCACTGATTCAGCTTTATGGCTTAACCTCAGACCTCCTCTCATCTCCATGGAAGGGATCTGAATTGTTGAGTGAACTTGCTTACCATCACTGGACCTGGTCTGCTCAACTTGCTTGGGTATGGTGGGAATACCTGCCAATCAGATGGAAAGCCACTGCCTCTGGCTGCCTTGTTATCACTCTTGGCTCCTGACTTCCCTTCTCTTGCAGAGCAACTTGCCCTTTTTGCTCTCTGACAGGTCCTTCATGGAATACATGAATTTTGCTTGTCTACTATTGAAATAATGAGTTTACTTACTAATGAGCAATAGCTAGTTTAGCCTTTATTCAGGTAGGACATTCACTAGTGATAGTACTAGACTAAACTGAATCCTAATGTTAAGTGTTCAGGTCCTCTTGATTACAGCTCAGAGGTGCAGTGCTCTGAAGTGAATAAGGAATTAGCAGATGACTTCTGCTTTGCTCCAGTGTGGAAGGCTTCCCTCATGGTTCCAAAGCAAGGGGCTGTTTAGACCTACTGCTGCCAAGAAATGAGGTGGACACACAAGATTTTCCTCTGAAATTGGAATTCCGTATCTTGCCAAAGAGTTGACAATGCATATACAGCAAAGAGGGAGTTAGCATGTATTTCACCTTGACTCAGATACTGTTCTTGCATTCCTAAGTGACTTATCAAGAGTCTTTCCACGTTCATTGTGGGAAAAGAGAAGAGAGTTTAGAAATGTGTGTTCTCTGTGTCTGTGTAGTCATTAGATTTCTGCCATAATCATTAAAAATAGCAATTACAACCTTCTGTGATGAAGGTTTTTATATGATGGTATTTGAACGTAGGCTACTTACTTCTTGTTTAAACCATTAAGCAGACATCAGAAAGGTGACCTTCATTCAGGTTCTGCATAGATAAGCCAGACTTGAATAAACAGCTTTCACAAAAGCATTGAATTTAAAACTTCTTTTTTGGCTTCCAAACAGGTACATATAAATTGCCTTGAAACCACTTTAATTGATGTAGCTGATATTTTGGCAAGGTTTGCTGCTGTAGAAGAAGGTCTTTCTATTCTTCTTTATGGAGGAAATAAAAACTCTGCTAAAGAAGATAGGTAAGAGAACATTAATGAATAACATTAGTGAGTAATGAATTACATTAGTCTTATGAAGCGAGACTCATTTCAATTTTTTTTGGTAGCATGATATGTTTTGTTTATGTTTGGAGTAAAAATATCTCACTATCAATTAAAGTAGGAATTGTTTTGGAGAATGTGTAAGGGAAATATTTACGTGTATAAACAGGTAAAATACACTTTAAAATACTTTTATTAAGGAAGATTTCCATGGTTTCTTTGTTTCTCCTATTCATTTGAGAGCTTTCTTTTTCTCTGAATGTAGTTCCAGTATATTCATAGTGCTGCTGTTCAGACCAAAGTCTAATATTGTCTATTTTGCTTGTTTTTAGAATAAATATTAAAAATCAACCTAATTTACTGAAACAATAGATTTATTGTAACATTCACTTATTAATACATGTAGTAAAGGCAGATCTTGTATCAGAAACTGACATTTGTAACAGCGTGCCTAATATAGTATCTGTATAATATTCTAATCCTTTGTGTAGTGCATTCTTAGCTGATGCTAAAGTATGAAATTGGGCAGTAAAATTGAGACTAGCATTTAAAAGTATCTAAGCTGCAGGTCATTAAAATAACCCTTATGTCTGTGACTGTCAATTATTTAGAATACATGTCTTCTGAGAGGGGAAAGCTCAGAAGTTGTGTACGTTTTTATGGGAGTATGGACGTAAAAGCTTTTTGGAGGAAAATGGTGGTGAATCTGATCTCTTTTGGGGAAAGAGTTGTATTTTGTGTTTCTAACCTAGATTTCAGAAGCAGTTCTCAGATAGGAAAGAGGAAGAACAAAGATAAATCTTGCCTAGTGTGCTTCAAGAATACTAATAGTCTTTTTGATTAAGTAAAAGCTAAAATGATTGTCTTGTTACTTTTCCCAACTGGACTCTTATAAAACACGCAGTTTGTGTAGATTGTGGCCATGTGGACAAGATGGAAGGTTGTGACTGCATTTTTGTTTTATGTTAACCCGTAACCAAAGTAAAATCACTCGCTGTGCATTTCTTTTATTCTGACTGCTGTTGCAAGTATTAATATAGTTGGTCGCTCCATAGTGGGTCATAGTTTTTTTCCATTACCTGTAGAACAATTTTTATAAGCTCTGTCAAAGGATTTGTTTCAAGGCTCATTGATGACTACAAACCAACATTTAAAAAATGTTATTTTATTTCTAGTCCTACAGCTGTTCATGTAATTGTTCAGTTTACAAAGAAACTTCTTCATGACGACATTTCTCTTTTATCTGGATCCGAGCTTTTGCCAGTTGTTAAAGGAGCTTTCATTTTTGTATGTCGTCAGATGTACAGAACATGTGAAGGCCTGCAGATGCTAATTCCTTATGGCTTGCATGAATCTATTGGAGAGGCCTGGAAAAAGGTAAATCTTGCTTTGGATTGGGAAGATCAGAAAAAAATTACTGTAAGAGGTTCAGGTTATGTAATAGTTGTTCTGTGCTTTAGATTCCCCATACTTAAATAGTAAGATAAGAATACTTGGAATTGTTCTAAAAATGAAGTTCTACTTTTCAAAATTTGCTTCTATATGTGAACCTAGCAGACACTTATTTTAAGCCTTATGTGCTTGAAGATTAAACCAGGATCTCTGAGGATGTATAGGAAGACCTGTCATTCATTGATCAATTCTTCTTTAAATGCTGTCCTTGCTGCTAGAGGTCATCTGATGTTCACAATTTGTCTACTTACTGTAGGATTTTAGTAAAAATTGTTTCCCAAAGTATTCTCCTGGGGAAACTGGCTGCTCATGGCTTGGACAGGTGCATAGTTTGCTGGGTGAAGAGCAGGCTGGATGGCCAGGCTCAAAGAGTTGTAGTGCATGAAGTTCAATCCACCTGACCGCTGGTCACCAGCAGTGTTCCCCAGTGATCAGTACTGGTGTAAGTTTTGTTTGACATTTTTATCAGTGATCTGGATGAGGGGATCAAGTGCACTCTTGCAGACAATACCAAGTTAGTGGGACTGTAGGTCTGCTTGAGGGTAGGAAGGCTTTGCAGAGGGATCTGGATAGGCTGGACTGATGGGCTGTGCTCAAACACATAATGTTCAGTAAGGGTAAATGCCAGGTCCTGTGCCTGGTTCATAACAACCACATGCAGTGGTATAGGCCAGAAGAGTGGCCGGTCAGCAGCTGCTTAAACATGAGCCAGTAGTGGGCAAGAAGGCCAATTGCACCATGGCCAGCATCAGAAATAGTGTGGCCAGCAGGACTATGGAAACAATTGTCTTCTTGTACGCAACAAGGTCTCCTTGAGGACTGCACCTCAAATACTGTGTTCAGTTTTGGGCCCCTCACTGCAAGAAAGATATTGAGCTGCTCAGGCATATGCAGAGAAGACTGATGAAGCTGGTGAAGGGATGAGAAAACAAGAGTTGTGAGGAATGACTAAAGGCAGTGGGGTTGTTTAGATGGAAGAGGCTGAGGGGGAGACGTTATCACTCTCTACAGCTACTTGAAAGAAGGTTGTAGTGAGGGATATCCATCTCCTTTCTCAGGTGACATGTGGTAGGACATGAAGAAATGTTCCCAAGCTGCATCAGGGAAGGTTTAGATTGTGTGTTAGGAATTATTTTTGGTTAGGTTTTGTGGAAGATACAGAGAAAAATAGGAGATTACAAATATTTGACTGAAATGCTTAGGTGCCATTGAAATATTCTCAAGAGACCATAATGAGATGTGCAAGCAGGTGTTCTTGTCATACCTGTATATGGATATCTTATGAAGTATAGAGATTGCATTTTAACTTCTGTCTGATGCTAGTCTAGTGTTTTTTCTGCCTGAGAGAGCTTGGGTCCAACAGCTCTGACAATTTTGCTTTCTATTATAAATTTACTGAACAAGAAATGTAGATCCTTGCTTTATTCACTAAACTTTTCTATTTTCATTGTTCCTATAGCAGAGTTCCTATGTGCAGTTTGAAAATTCTTACCATCTATTATGTTATTGTTAATATGGAAAAATGGCAGCAGATGCTGCAAGAGCAGTTTTCAGAAAGTTCACAGTAAAGTAAAATTCAAACAGAGGTTGGAATCACTAAAATTACAGTGTCAATATTTAGATAAGGATAGTGTATTAAACTTCAACTTTGGGTTCCAGCAAAACTGAAACAGTATATTTAAATGACAGATACTAGACCTCTTTGTGGAAAGACAAGCTGTGCTACAGTACTTTATTCTGAACAATTGAAACTTTTTTTCCCCTCTCCAGTGTTTGTAAAATACTTTCTTAGAGGAGAAGGATCAGACCAAGCTGAAAAAAAAAATGTTTAAAATACTAAAGCTTTTTTTTGAAGTCAAGGAAGCGGGAAAGAGATTGAATGCAAGGGAAACAAAATGGAACATCTGTTCTCCTTGTCAAATGCTGTATGCTTTTATAATGCTTAGAAACACAGTCACAATGTAAACTAAGGCAGAAAGTATCAGAAAGATAAAGCATGAAAGAAGACTTGAATCGTTACCTTGTGGATATTTTTCACTACTTTCATATACAAGTATTATCACAAAAGCATAAATCTTGATTGAAAGTAAAATATTACAACCATAATTATATCACAGTAAACTCTATTTCCCATTAGAAAATGTTGGTTTTGAAACGTTCTTCCTTGCATTGAGAACTTTGGAGTTTAGTTCAATTTAATCATGCTGTAATTCACATAACTCAAAAATCTGTCAATCTTTCTGTGCTTTCCTGGTATGTAAGTAGTCAAGTAAGTCTTACTTGAACTAACTTGTTACCCTGTTTAATGTTTATCAGTCAGACTGTCATATACTTTTGATGGGTATTTCCATTTATTTGCTCTAAAGTACCATAGCATCTACACATACACAAAAAAAACAACAACAACAAAAAAAAAACTTTGCACATCAAAAGATTTTATTATGATATATAACATCATTTAGACAACTTGTTTTGACACGTAAGGGATAAATAGCATGAGTATGTGGAATTGAATCATGAAACATTTAACTGACAAAATTCTATTTCTTCATATTGGTTTGGAGATCAAGGGGAATCAGGGCTTCAGGAATCAACAGTTTAGGACAGCAAAGTCATGTTTTCAACTCTGCCATCTTGATTTTTTTAAATATTTTTCTGTTGTTCAATTTCAAAACATCTGCAGTTTAAAATATTCTACCATTTATTCTTGATCAGAAATGGCAGGCCATGAATAAAATAAAAATAAAATCCAAGCATTAGTTATAAAGATTTACCACCTGTCTTACATGGCAGATCTTGCTGGAATTCTGAGGGAGAAACTGGCATTTTTGTACAGATGATGATAAAGGGGAAACTTAACAGGGCCAAGGTAACTAATTAATTTAATTCATGAATCTTCTGTGGATGTCTTAGATCACATTTATAAGAGGGTAAGTTAACTGAAATTAACAACTTCTCACTTACATTAGAATATAATAATATGGTCCTTATCCCTAGAAACATAAAAATTTTAAACCATTAATCCGAAATATAAGGTGCTCTTCACACAAGTTAATTTTAAACATCTTTTTAATTAAAACACCATCAAATATGTTTTTATGTGTGCATGCACACACATATATATAGAATCTTTATCTCTCTGTAGCTTCATGTATATCCATACCTATACACATAAATCATATAAGTAAAATTATAAATAAAATATAAATAAATATAAATAGTATAAATAAAATGAATATTATAAATAAAATTAAAATAGGCAGAATTGCTCAATTGGCATGCTCAAATTTGGCATTGAGTCATTGGTTCCGGAGGTTATTATTTCCATTACCTGTGGCAAAAGCAGAATTAAAATGTTGTTCTGTTTCTTTAGTTTTTGCATGAAAATTTTGGCTAAAAAAAAAATCTGATTAAAAAATACATTTTTTTAATTTCAAAAATTAAAGAATAAAAACTTAAAAAAAAGAAAAAAGAAAAAAGTAATAGCTTTAAAATGGTTTATGCCTGAGTTAAAAATTGAAAGTGAGCTTTCCTGGAATAAAAAATGTAGTAGAATGATATATTCTATACCAAAGGCTAGACTCCGAATCTGATCACTGTTATTTATTTATTTATTTATTTGTTTCTTTGTTTTTTTAAAGTAAAATGAGCAAGATCTGAAGCTTAAAAATGGTGTAAATAAGCAGTGTAAGAAGGGTTGTTTATTATTATTACTTTAATTTCACAGATAAGCTTGCTTTCAGAAAGAGTACCCACTCCTGTAACTGGTGCAGACTCTACTTCATCAATAAGTCTAGAGTCAAAAAATGTGTAAGTGTTGATGCTTAATTTATGCATGTGCACAAGTATGAATGGACACTGCAATTTATTCCCAATTCAACATTTTATAACCCTGTATTTTTTAGGGCTTTTGCCAGGAACATGGTCAGCCTAGCATGAGTCTCATTTGAGTGGCTCTGATGGGATGTTAATTTAAAACTGTTCTGCTGAATGGTATCTACACCTTCATAATACTATGTAACAAGATTGCCTACATTCTGGCTGAAAGTCAGAATGTAGGCCATCTTACATGTTAAGACAAAGACATCCTTGCTTTTATATTGCAATTTAATGTCCCTTATGTGTGTATATATATATATATACATATATATATGTATATATATATAAACCTGTATATTTCTTATCTGGAAGCATACAGACCTGTGAGCCTTAAAATTGAGATTTATGTTGGTGTTAGTGCAGACCCAGTTATTTAAGCAGATTTTTGATTATACTTGAACATAGATCTCATGTATAATTTGCAAACATACTACAACAGTTTTGACTGCAGCCTGTAGTGGTGGCATGTGGACTGGATAGCAATTCCAAACTAGTGGTTAAAAGAAATTCAGAAATGCAGAGCTCTTACTAAGGAGGCTATCACTAATCAGTACCATTGGCATAAGCTACAATTTCCTTCTATCATCTAGATTTTCTATTACATTATAGAACGAGAGAAACTGATAAATTTCTGTGTGAAATTTTTGCTTCAGAACACAGAATGGCAAGGATTGTGCAGAAGTGATTAAAGTTTGGGGTAATGGTTGACTGCTATGAGAAAAGCTGCTTGCTGCACAAGGATAGGATTCTTAGTGATAGGAATCAAAAGCGGGAAAATGAGAACTACAAGTGAGAATCCATTAAGCAAGTGCTTTTAGGGAAGCAGAATCATATGAGTCTAGTGACGCCTGAAGTGGTCGGTAGTACCTTCTCAAAGGTCATGGAATTGATTCACTTTTATTTTGGGGGACAGAATATTTTATAGGGCAGAAGGCATCATCATACTTGCTTCTTTGTAATTGCTGTTTTCCCTGCCATGTTGGTAGAAAGTATTACTGCTCTTAAAAAAAAACAACTGTTGTATATATTGCTCCTTATTTTGTAATTCTGTACTAATTTTCTAGCAGGAGTCTTTCTCTCTTCAAACATGGGTTTTTATTAGTTACTCACAGTGTTTTTACATCAGTGAGAAAGTCTTTGCCAGCTTTGCCACTTCGCAACTGCCACATTAATGCCTTAAAAGACTTGTCCAGAATTAAACAGTAAATCATAGGTACATGTATGGATGACACAGGTCTTCTTGGTTCCCTTTTGCTTCATCTGTCTGTTCCATGCTCCTTCCTTACCATGTAACCTAATCCTTCTGCCAGAATGAGTTTGGATGTTTGTGCATTATTATTATTATTATTATTATTATTATTATTATTATTATTATTATTATTATTATTATTATTATTATTATTATTATTATTATTATTATTATTATAAGATAACATAGACTAAATGTAGTCAGGTGAATGAAACCTTTTGCTTTTTAAAGTTAATTTATAGTTTTTCCTTTTTTCACTATTTATATATATATATATATTAAATGATTATTTTGCTACTCCTACAGTTTATTATGGGAAGAAACCTTGCTAGATGCCTTGTTAAATTTTTCTGCCACACCGAAAGGACTTTTTCTGCTTCATAGTACAGGGGCCATGAATGACTGTGTGAGCTTTATGTTCAACAGTTTATCAAAAAAACTCCAGGTAAGTGTTATAGAGCAGGTACAGTATTTCTTTCCTTTAATGGTTACAATAAAATAAAGAAGAAAGAAAATAATAAGAAAATAAATCCAGAAGAACTTTTGTCATTTATACTGCACAGAAAATTAATTTTAATTATAGATAATGATCTTTGATGTTAGTGTCCCGTAGATATAATTTTGTTGGATGTTAACCATCTTTAGAATGCCATATATATATTGAGTTTTTATGACTTTTTACTGAGAAGTTCCAAGTAAAATCTTGTTGGTAGGCATTGTTGAGATCTAGATAAAATGTTAGCATGTAACCAAAAATCAGCTTATATGCATTTTAGGAGAAAAAATATAGTGGACATACTACTGAAAGTGTGCAAAGAAATTTATAATACCAAACTTTTTATTATTTGCTGATGTTGCATCTCCCAAACATAGCATTTATCATTTAAATTTTGATAAGATACTTTACTTCATGTTTTGCTTGGAATCTGACCCTGGCAAGTCTGTACAAGATAATATCTGTGAACTGTTCAAGTCTAATATTACAGTGGATTAAATTCTATAAACATGGGCAGGAAATATTTAAGAGATCTTTTGAGAGTTTCATGTCCTCTTCCATACTAACTCTGTGCTTTTATATTTGTTACTAACAGACAAACAAATGTGAAGAGTTTGGTAATGGAGTGATTATTGCACAACTGGCAACAACACCAACAGGTGCAGTAGCTCTACAGAGTTCAGGTAATTTTAAGAAGGAAGTTACAAGAATAGTTATGCACTGTAGTCTTGCACAGTAGAAAAAAATGGTGGGAAAGGTATTAAAAAGATGAACTGACTGGAATAATTATTAATTATGCATTATGAGCAAAGGCTCTTTAAATGCCTACCGTTTTTTATTATTATTATTCAGGGAAATTTATTCTTTCAGACTTGAAAGTCATTCAGTTATCTCAATGAAAGCCCTACCCCGCCCCCATGTTACACAAATTTTTATTTCATTGTTAGTGATTTCCAGAAATCTGCTGCTTGTGCATTTATGACTGTTAATAATAATAACAATAATAACAATAATAAGAATAATAACAATAATAATAAAGCTGTTAATAATTTGCAAGTACTTATTGATTGGCAGATCAGAATTATTAAGTGCTGATTTCTGTAATTTGTATATGCACTTTTCCATGGCTACTGACAACTCAGAGTGAGAAGCTTCATAGACCTGAATGTCGTTTTTGCTCTGGTGCAACGAGACAGAATTGAGATTTTTTTGATTCATGTTCAGAGAAATTAACTGTTGTCATACCACACATGTGTCTAGGTAGTCGTCGTGTTAATTAGAATCTTAGCAATAAAGTAAAGCTATCCTCGAGTTGCTAAGGAATTCAGTGAGGTACAGAAATTGCTTATATTCTCTTTAAGTAACTAGAAATGGTTGGTGTGTAATTAAAGTGGCTTGGCTGAAAGATTATTACAAAGGCAGGGAAGTTCTGCCAGTCAAGGAAACTGATTGTTATTTGTTTATTATTTATGCCTCTGGGATTTTTCAGAGAGCAAGGAGCAGACTTACTTGAGTAAATCCATCTGTCCTATTTAATGTTCCCTTGCTTCTTATGGCCTTCAGCATCAAAGAAAAATGGTAGATCAAAAATAATCAGCATTGATTTTCAGCCCTTAGAGCAGGTTGTGTAATGTCTGTGAAGTTTATATTAAGTTTGTAACTTAGACTTGGAGATTTCAAATGTAGATGTCTATTTTTCCTTTTTTAAAAAATATTATTACTAAACTATTTAAATTCGGTTAGTGGTGTTTCCCTTACAAATATTTTTCGGTCATTATAGTATGTTTTTATACCCTTTTCATACTATAACTCACCAATAAATTGTGCATGAATACAGATTTACAATATCTTACCAGTAAAACCCCAGAGCCAATGCTAGGTAGTCTTGAGAAGTTAACATCAGCTGCTCATTTACATGAAACATGCAATATATATAAATATCAACCTACTGTAGTACAATATTCTTTGTGAACTGCTACTGTAAAATTGAATATCAGCACACTGCTGTAGAAAGGTAACTTGACCAAAGGATTGAGAATAGAAGGGAGAGAGTAAGACTCAGGCAGTCTGTCTTGTGAAATTTTAGTACATAGTGTAGAAAATTTTGAGAATCTGAGTTAGAACTGTGGTATAAAATGTTTTTTAATATGAAAATTGTTTTTCTGATATTCTTACCGTTCTCATGATTAAAACAAAAAAATTGTTTTAGGGTTTATAAAGGCCCTTGTAACTGAATTATGGACTCTTTTGGAGTGTGGAAAAGATGATGTGAGGATAACTCAACCCAAATCTACTCCAGTTGACCCTATTGACCAAAGCTGTCAGAAGGTGAGAAGTTAATTAATAATCTTCTTTACTGACGTGGAAAAAAACAGTACTGTGTTTCAGATATTATGATACATAACTTTCACTAGTTTTTTATTGCAACTATGCCTGTTTTCTGTCATATGGGGCAAAATTGATGTAATATGCTAGTCAAATAATGGTTAATTGAAAAAATTATTCTGTTACCTGGTAGATCACAATGCCAATGTTCCATTAAAGATCATATAACAGGAAATAGGCATGACAGAAGTGAATATCTCAAAATACTAGCTATCAGTTCAAGTCTTGAATTACAGATCAGGGAGGAAGATGTGTTTTAGAGCGTGCTTTAGAGCGTCTCTAAAATTTAGAATTGCATGGTAGTACAAGTGTTAGGATTTTAAAGAAAATTCTGAAGTTATTTCCAGAATTATATTTCATGTACTCCATTGGAAAAAAATTCAACTTTACTAAGCCACCACTTGTAAAATTTGATTGCTTCTACATGCTTCCCAGAGACTACTGGCCTTTTTGATTGTATACACCTGGCAGGTTTGCAGTGATTTTGGCAGCTCTATTTATGTCAATTCCAGACTACACAGAAGGATAAGAACAAACTTAAAGTAAATAATTTTTAACATACATTTTGTTATACTTAGCTGACTAACAATACCTTTTGTCATCCTTCTTATTTTCTTTCTCTAGTCTTTTCTGTCTCTGATAAACTTGCTCACTTATCCTGCAGTTCTTGAGCTCCTGAGTAAACAGGATATACCAAATAAACCAATGTATTCACTCCGTGAAGTACCTACAGATATTATTGTAAGTAGAGTTTTATAGATTTTAAAGAAAAATAATAGTTACATGAGGATATATTTATTGAGAAATTATTACTGTAATAAAAAGTAAGTTATTACTTCTCCTTTGAAATTTTCTGCATTTTGTATTATATACAGCATGAGGGCAGTATATGCACATATCAATTCATATTAACCAAAATTTTCATTTTGAAATCCTAAAGATAATAAAAAATTTGATGCCTAATTTAAAGATCCTATTTCCTGGCTTGTATGAGAGTGTGTTTTTCCATGGAAAAAGTGACATCATTATCTCTGTGTGTGCATGCATGCTAGCAAATGCTGGAAAACACCTATATTTGTATGTATATAATATTGCTTTATTACACTGTGGATTCAAAAAAAACAGATAAAAATAGAAGTACCTCAGGCTTTCTTAATAGCACAGATGATTCATGCAAACAAAAAATCACTAACCGGAAAATTACTGATCAAGGCATATTTTAGTCTTAAGAAAAATAGTATTATGTTAGTATCATTTGGTATCACTTCTTCCAGCCACAATCCATTTATTTTTTTCTCATCTGTGAAGCACAGGCAAATTTAATCTGTGACCTTGAGTGGCAGTTAAAATTAGATCTTTGCTAATGAGCTAGCACTTTGAATTGCTGTTGCATTAAAGTGTTTGCTTAGTGCAAACAAGCTGGATTGGTGATAGTTTAAGTTGTTGTTTAGACTGTGTATATCATAATAGTGTACATTATGTTTGGAAAATATTTTTGTAGGTTTTTTTGTGTGTGTGTGTGTGTTTTTGCTTTTTTGTAACACCATTTTGTTGATTTCAAGAGTGAATGCTGTGAAAAGTTTTTTTTTTTTTTTTTTTTCCAATTTACTCAGTATTGGCATGTCCACTGATAGATACTACTAAAGTAAAGTCATAAAGTTTTTAGATACTACTAAAGTAAAGTCATAAAGTTTTTTGAGCTACTGGAAGCAGGGGAGATGTATGCTGAAGATGATAAATATTTCATAGTTTTCAAACTGTGGTAGATCTTAAGTATTTTTTTTTTATGGCTTTTGAAAGCGTATGTTACTTTGGCTTTTGTGGAACTTCCAAAAATTTTCTGGAATTCTCTAGGTTTCCAGGTATAGCAATACTGTAAAACTCCAAGTTAGACAATCAAGACCGTGTAGTTAACAGAAGGAAAATAGGCATTAAAACGGGGGTGTTCATCTAACATTAACATATAATGGTTGAGTCTGAATACTCAGAAAACTCTCTATTACATTAAATGATGTAGGATCAAAGATATAAACCTCAACATTCAAGCCTAGTCATCATGGATGGCCTTGGATGCTGGCCTCTGAAGGTAAGTGGCAGTGTTTTGAACAAGTGTTAGAGAGGGTGTTATACTAAAGGACTTGCTGTTTTTTTCATTAAATTAGATGTGTACACATTTCAAACATGAAAAAAAAAACAACACACACACACACAAAATAGTTTAACATTTGTCTCGTGATTTAATACTGAATAAGAACTCAAATACATGCCATGCCAGGATCTTTTTGTATATTCAGTGATTTTTTAAATCTAATTACTATGTTATTTTCCTAACATTCTCTGTGGTTTCTTCTTGCTTTCCACCAAAAAAAGTCAATGGCACCTCTTTTTACAGAAATAATTTAAATATATATATATTTAATAATAGGTTTCATTTTATAGTAAACATCCCTAAAGAACTGTTATCTGTGTGAAATACAGAGCTTTGTTTTTTTTTTTTTTTTTACATTTGTCTTTCTTTTGCAGGATATCATTGACAGGCTTATTATTTTGAATTCAGAAGCTAAAATTCATTCCTTATTCAGTTATGAACAATCACATATCTTTGGTTTGAGGTAAGATGCTCTTTTTTATTCTCTGGTCACATTAACAAAATAGGATATAACATGCTTGGATGTGTTGCTTCTGATAAGATAATATTTGTTTTTTATTATGCATGAAGGTGAAATTCTACACTCCTCCCTCCCACCCCTTTTTTAACAGAAGAAGATTGAATGAAAAATGTTCTACAAAATGAAAATGGCAATGAATCTAATCTTATTATCTGTAAATGGATATATTGTAATATGATAAGCAATAATAGAAATTGTGTGTTGTTATTTTGTGTAGCTGATTGAAAAGAACGTGTTACATTGATTGTAGTGCATGTAGCGCATACAACAAAAATCATATTGAAGTACTATAATAAGCCAAGTATTTTAAACTATATGAGGTTTTACTATATATAGTCTCCCTCTACTTAGAATTATTTTTTAGTACATTGGTTTAAGTATCACCAATTTCACCCATAATTATTTTGAAAGTAGCAGATCACAATTATTTCTGTAACCTGAAGTAACATTAATATTAGAAAACATGAACATGACAATGTCAGCATATTTTAACTGTTTTATAATATTTTAACATACTAATTAGAGTTTCTGCATTTTTTGTGCTTTTTCCCCCCTGTTTTCCAAAGATGTATATATAAATCCTTTAACAGACTTATTTATTAGTAACATGTTTCATGCAATTGAAATAAAAACTGTCTTGGATTGTGCTTCATAGTATGGAAATATTTGATAATCTTGCTTGGGCAGGGTATAGCCCAGTTGGTTACGGACTGCAATATTAGCTTTCTGCAACTGTATCTTTACTTTAATACCAAGGTAAAATTATTTTATACTATGTATGGCTAATGATAAGATGTAGTGTAATTTGCTGATAAGTATGAGTATGGAAGATATGAACAGTGGCAGAATTCGTAGGTGGGAGATAAAATGATTTTGTCTTCTAAATCGGGATTTATAAATGTTGTTTGGGGGAAATCAGTGGTTGGATAGGAATGAGAAATTCTAAGATATTATTTGAAAATTAACATGCTATGAGGCATTTAGGTTTATCCTGACTCCATAAAAAGCTTGACAGAAACCCAATGACTTAAATAAAAATGAGGGAAAGTGAGCTGTTTTAAAGTTTAAAATAATAATTTGCTTTTAGATTGTGTTCTAGACGTAGAAGGTAAAAGAATGCACTTCTTGTACCGTGATATTGGAATGCTTTTCTTTGTAGGCAAAAATGATTTACTGAATCTGAGCATGTAAGCAGTTGACTCCCATGCTGTAAGGCAAAGGCTGTTATACAAATCCATGAATCATGTGGTGAAGTTGTGTTTAATGCCTACAACATTTTTAACACAGCCTCTGCTCTGTGAGGTAAAAGAACTACCTGTAACTACACATACGAGCAACGTAAAAAACTCATCCATAATCAGTCAAAAGAAGCCATATGGTTAAGCAGATAAGATGGGCTTTAGAGTTCACTGTGGAAATTGCATTTTCTGCTGAAAACAGACAAAGTCAAAAAACAAGCGGAAATCCAGAAGATGTCTGATATTCCTCTTTTCACTTAATACGCAGAGCCAAATCGCCAAATTCTTCCTTTTTTAAAAAAAAATTTATTTTTGTTGTTGTTCAAAAGTCCTGTTACCTTCTTATCCCTTCATTGCCTTTCCTATAACAGGATGATTCAAGTCTAGGGATTATAATACAGGCCTATGTACACCAAAAAAAGAAAGTAAAAAAAAAGTAATGAACTGTTTTGTTATTGATTAAGTAGCCTTTTATGAGCTTGTGGGGCTTGCTGTTATTTTTATTTTTCTCCAAGTAATTGAGAATTGGCACATACAAGCCTTCTACTATGGCAAATCCAAATGCCTGCACAAGGCAAATATATAATATTATGTAGTTACTCAAAATTTTCTATTACAATAATACTCGAATTCTGAATGAATCTGGTATTTGCCATGCTTATGGTATTGTTTACAGTATTATGCCTTGCAAGAAACCCTAGTCTATATTATTTTAATGTGAGAGGTATACAGTTACTGTCAAATACATTTTGAAAGTGAGTTCCATGAGCTTTTCTGTGAATCCTGCTGACCACAGACATCTGTGTTCTGAAAAGTAAACCTTTTATTGTGTACTTGGTATGCTCCTTGACCAAATCCCATCAAGAATATCAAGCTTAGCAGCATTTAGATCAAATACAGTATCAAATGTTGAACAGATCTGAAAATGTAGGCAGCTCATTAAAAGGAGCAAAAGAACTGTATTTCTCTGCTGCTATGTAGAAATAAAACACATTTTTGTGAGCATTGAAAAACTGAATTGTTTTGTAGGATTTTGGTAAAATGTTTACCTAGATTTTTTTATTTTTTTTTCCCAATGACTTTAATACTAGTAAACAGCCCAAACCACTTTCTCTAATTTTTCACAGCATCTGCACAGCCATGTACTTTGATATTTGGTCAGGTACCATTGTACTGTGGCTTGCCTAGAGCCAAGTGCTGAACTTTGATCTGTTTAACTTATAGGTTATATTCTCAGGTCCTGTAAAACCTTTCTATTGCTCAAAAGTGTTACAAAATTGTTTATTAGAATGTTAAGCAACTTCTGCCATTTACCACTGTATTTTTCTTCATGTGTGTACTGTGCTTCAGTGATTTAAAAATGTTTAGTTTATTAACTGTTTAACTATATGCAATTTAAAATATATGTGTTTCCATGGTTTATTTAAACAATATAGTATAGTATATTTAAACAATATAGTATAAACAGTATAGGTATATTCATTTATCTCTTCAGTGTTATTATTACATTTTCTGGTGGCTGATTGTTTTAATTTTGATTAAGTATGAATTCTGAAGTATTACACTGATGGACACCTCTGCAGAGACTCTACTGACAGCTTTCTTTTTCACGCTTTCCTCCTCTGAGAAGTAGTGTCAGGGAAAAATCAAAGGGAAATTGGAGGGAAGCTCGATAGGGTTTTGCATAGCCAGTATCTCTTAGCCTATAAAGAAAGTTCCTGAGAGTGCATTTGTACAGACAAGTAAAATATCAGTTCCACAGCAAGTTATCCTAGTGGGAGGCTCCTTTTTTGTAACTCTCAGCTCGGAAGTGGTTTGGCCTAAGAACCTTCTTCAGCAGGCACAGATGGTTCATTGTTCCTGGACTTTTGGCAGGTCATTTCTGGTCTGATCCAAAGAGATCCAAAGGCTCTTGGATCTTGATTTTTTGAAGCCCGTTGAGTCTTAACGTTTCAGGTGCTTTCAAGTGTAGTTTTCTGAGCACACTTCTAGGTGTCTGTTTTGTAGTCAGGGATTAAACAGGTAATTTCTTGACCCACAAAGGTGAATGACATAAATCCCATACATTTTGCTCTCCCATGGGAGCACTGGAGTATATTGCCCAGAAAGGCAGTGGAGACTCCTCCTTCCTTCGACATCTTCAAAAACGACTTGAACATGGTCCTTGGCAACCTGCTTGCTAGGTATCTGATCTCCAGAGGTCCCTTCCAAACGTAATCATTTTGTGATTTTGCAATTAAATCCTTTTTTTTTAATTTATTTTTTATTTTTCTGATCCATTTGTCTTTTATTGCAGCTATTGCATATTTCCAGGATAAGATCTATTCACCTGAAGGCACTTCTCATATTTTTTTATATTATTATTATTCAAAAAGGGAAACTTTAGACGAGAAATTGGAGATAAGAATAGAAAAATGAAAGCTCATAGTTCCTAATGTATATATAGAATGATTTTCGAACTGTCAGTTCAACTTCAAAGCAGATTTGGACTTACTTAGAAGCAGGAGGAATTTTTTTTAAGCAGTCAACATTGGCTGATAAAAGAGCATTGAAGACTTTTCAGTCGCTGTACAGCCTGAAAGTCTGGGTGCACAGGAACCCATACAAAAATTCTCAGTAGACTTTCTATTTTAGAAGATTCTTAACTTAAATTGCCATCAGAGCACGAATCCTAGGAAAAGGGAATTAACAGCAGTAATCAAACTAAGAAATTTGAATGTTTTATTTATAGAGAGAATTTCCTTAATTTACTGATCAACTTAATTTCTTTGATACAAGCATACATATTGATTGTATCTTAAAAGTTATTGGATGTGAGAGAGAACAATTTTCATAAAGGTGAAAACCTTTATGAAAACTTAACCACCTCCCTTTCAAGGCTGATCTCTTTGAATCATTGTAACTTTTATTAACAAAGGAGTTGAGTAAACAGTGGTAACATACTTTTTCTTTCAGACCAATGAATATCCCACATCAAGGCAACTCATAGTATTTCAGTAGGGTGAATACATCTGTGAGTCGAGTTTTTTCTCATGCTGAGAAAATGTATGCATAATATATGTATTTTCAAAGCCTCTGCCTAAAGCATTATTCAGGCATTAACATATAGCTGTGCTCTCTATTCAGAAATCCAGTTTTCTGTGAATTTTGGAGTGATACTGTATTGTTAACTGGATTAAAGCATGACAAAGTACCAATTTTTTACCTTAGATAACGAACCCCCAGTCTCTAAAAAGTATCAATAGTCCAAAATAAGTTCAAAGTTATCCAGTTAGTCCTGACTTGCATAAAACAGAAGAAGACTGTTATTGAGAGTAGACATGGACATGGTTTCATGTTTCTTTTTTTTCCTTATCAATCTTACATTCTTACATACATATACCACTACCTTCAGCCTTTTTTTTTTTCCCCATAGGGGATTTCTTTGGTTATAAGTCGGTAAAGCTCCTAAATGTTATAAAGTCAAAAGATCTTGTATATGTACTTTCAGAATTAGAAGAATATTAGTTGTTAGCCCTGCACTTGTTCATTGAAACACCTCGTGCTAGTAGGCATTAAGCAAAAATAACAGTACTCTGTTCAACAGTTTGTCTTCTTGCAGGAAAGTATCTGGAAAACTCAGAGAATCAAATCCTCTTCCTTCAGATAGGCAAACTGGGGCTGTTTAATTTTAAAGACAAAATATGCTTGCTTAGCATTAGAGAC